GCAAGGGCAAAAGCAACTAAATCATATTACTGGAACTAATACATGTATTTTTGGCATATATCTAATTCTTCTATTTATTGCTGTATAACCTCTAACTCAGAAGATTAAAAACACCATAGACAAATGACATTTTACAAAATGTTTAAAATGTATTTTTTTATAATGGTAATTGATGTGAATAGTATTTAGTAATGATTTTGAAAATTTTACTTATTTTGTTGGCATGTTTGGAAATAGGGAAAGAGGCTGAGCCAGAAACCTTCATTACATTTATTTTTAAATTCACATAGTCTCCCTTTATGTGACACCTTACCAGAAAAGAATTTCTACCTGCCTGATTTAACATTTGTATGAAATCTTACAGAACATTGATTTCACAAATATGTTGCTTAAAATAACTAGTTTTATAACTCTTGCCCTTTAAGAAGCTCCAAATTAAGCTCAAAGGGAAATTACAAACCTTGCAAAAAAAATTAGAAATATTATTTCTTTCTCCTATATGATCTACTAGTGTCACTCAACTAAAATTCCTCAGTTTCTGACCATGAGAAACCTAGAGGAGTAGAGTAATGAAGGTCATCCATTCCACCACCACCCACAAGGGGACCAGATATTCATCATAACAGGTAAGTGTTTTTATGATAATGGCAGATGGTGATTGAAGCAAGGGCAATTCAAAAGGGGAGACACATGAAAGCAATAATTTTGAATGTTTGACATTTGTTTTGAAACTACCTTACTACCCTATACCCTTTACCATCTGTCTGCTATCCCTCCCAACACCAACCTCTGTCTTCCCACAGGGCTCCATTGTCTGCAGTTCCTGTTTCTCAGGGGCGGAGCTGTGGGAGGCAGCCATGGGTGCCATAATAGGCACCTGCGGTCAGCACAATGGGCTGTGGGTGCTTGTGGGAGAGACAGATTGATGTATTGTGCATGGGGGAGGAGGGCTGTCACTTGAATCCATGTGAACCCAGGCTTTAGGGGCAAGGGAGATTGACAGCTTTTGTAGGTTGCATTTCTTTTTCAAAGCTTGGCTTTAATAGACAGTAAGTTTGGGGCCCCAGGCTTTCACTCCCATAATTCTAACAGGGCAATCACAAGCATTCAGCATTTCTTTTTACCCCCCTTGTTACGCATTAAATGATTTCAGTAAAGGAATGTGCAGCATTAATTAGAATTTGTTAGCAGATACCAAGGGGAAAAGTTTCTTCACAACAACTATAGGAGGTGTCATTTGTACAAAGACGTTTTTGTTTTCTTTCCCCATTACATTATCACTGCAATATGTAAGGTAGTGATTCTTTTCATTTAAATTAAGTGGAAAGCTACTAAATCTTGTTTTATTCTCCAAAATGAATAAGGTCCTTAACACTTATCTTTTAACTTCTTTCATTTCCTAAGGTTGATGTTTACTTTTGCTTTCAGTCCTACCCATTTACTGATCTGTGTGGTTGTGTATCCAGTTTTGTGTACCATTTAGCTTTTACAATTGCAGGGAAACCAGTACTGGCAAATAAGGATTGCTCCAGGTGAAAGTAACTACCGATAATATTGAAAATCATTGACATACTGGAGTCCCTTTTGGTAATTGTATACTGAGAAATGCTAAAAATTAGACTCCTCTAGATGTGTCATCACTTATTTTCTAAAACTATTTTCCTTAGTTGACACATATTTAATCTTAATCATGACATATATTTATAGAATAACAGTGCAGAGGCCAAGGAATATTTTTCCCCTCAGAAAACTCATTCCTAAACCATATATGTATTTTTAAACATCAAAAGTCCTTTATTCAAAACACACACAATATCATTTCCTTACAGCTAGTTAAAATTATCTTGTGAGATTTTTGTTGTTGTTGTTTGTTTTTTGGGGAAGTGTTTTCTTATTTTTTTTTCTATTTTTTTATTCCCAACATTTTTTTTTTTTTAATTTTAGACTTACATAGGGACAATACTATTCTCACACAGGATATCATGTAAATACACATTTTACCATCTCAGGAACTGAGAAAACATTAAACATTTTTTGTATGATTTGTTTCCTACTCTCTCTCATATAAAATAGTTTTCTCTATAGAAGAATTTGGAGGCTAATTGAGATAGAATTTCCCTCTTTCAATTATTTGATTTAAATGTGTTAAGGGCAACAGTGAAAAACATTGATTAAGTCCACCATTATTTCTCAGAAAGAACATATTCCCACACAGTTGTCTGGCTCTGTCTATTATAATAATTTGGTGCAATGGTTTTAAAAGTAGTGGGGTGATAATAATTAGGTGATAGAAATTTCAGTGCTAGATTCAACATTTCAGCATGCAGGGCATGGAATTGCCGACCAGGGCTAGTCAGCTCTAAGTACTAATTAACTAATTAATCAGGTGCTGAATCCAGCTGAATGGAGGATACCAGCCAGACAACTCAAGTCCAAGCAGAAGGTTGTGCTCTTTCAAAAGCCGTCTTTCTTTCTTTCTTTCTTTCTTTCTTTCTTTCTTTCTTTCTTTCTTTCTTTCTTCCTTCCTTTCTTTCTTTCTTTCTTTCTTTCTTTCTTTCTTTCTTTCTTTCTTTCTTTCTTTCTTTCTTTCTTTCTTTCTTTCTTTCTTTCTTTCTTTCTTTTCTTCTTCTTCTTCTTCTTCTTCTTCTTCTTCTTCTTCTTCTTCTTCTTCTTCTTCTTCTTCTTCTTCACCCAATCAAAACTGAAGGGGAGAAAATAGGATATGGTGTCCTATTCAGTCATTTCAGTTCAAGTTTTTACTTAGAGAAGATAAAATAAAAACATGATTTTCTGATAATAATTGTGAGGTTCTTTGTGCAGGACAATCAATTCTCAAGGCTCTGGCAAACCTGTTACCTCCTTGACCATGAACTATTTCAGGGCTGGTATATGTATGTGTGTGTGGGGGGGAGGGGTGTGGTGTGGGGGTGAAATTCTGCCTTCTTGTAGTTTTCCTCTACAATGTTTTTAATATAGAATGAGAAATGTATTTTTCCTTTTGGGCTGATCTTAGGTCTTTTGACTCATCCCTCCTTTATGTAAATGAGAAGAGTCCAATTAAACATATAGAAAAAGGGTTTAATGAATCATGAAAAAGCCCAGTTTGCAGAGAAAGGGTACAGTCCTTCCTCCTCCTCCTCTTCCTCCTCCTCCTCCTTCTCCTCCTCCTCCTCCTCCTCCTCCTCCTCCTCCTCCACCTCCTCCTTGTCCTCCTTCACTTTTTCCTTTCTTATTAAACTTAGAAATGTGTATTTCCTTTAAGAAATATGATAAAGGTTAATTATTAGAACATTTCATTTTAGATACTAATTTTCATACTTGGAAATTATTAAACAAACATCATTTGCTAGAAGATTTAGCTTTCTTCATCTAAATCATAAGGCTTTCTGGAGACGTAGCAAATATTCTACAACAAAAATTGTGAAATTCTAAATTTTTTCCTAATTTAAAAAATAATTTAATCTTACTTCCTCCCATTTTTGATGTTATTCTTTGCTCAGTGATAATTTTTCTTCTCTTAACACAGTTTGCTCTGGAATTGTCAGTACTAAAATGGGTTTGCATCATTACAAGGAGGTTGTTATTGAAGCTAAGGAAAATATTTTAGTATCACATACCGTTGTAGCTTAATTCTGGTATTATTATGATGTTTTAACTAGCTAGAATTTTAAGGGTCTTGGAAGGAAATTAGATAAGCTTTCCTTTTTCTTTCCTAAAAGTACTGAATTTCACACTAGAACAGAAAATTCTGTCTTGGGGATTTCATTTTCCTATTTTTCTCCCCCTCTTTCTTCCTCTTGGAATTTTCAGTAGTTGAAAGAAAACTCCTAACCCATTATTTTAATGACAATAATATTGTAGGAAAAAAATCAATACTATTTCTGAGCGCAACTCTTAGAATTTGCTAAGTGTGCAACTTATCCGGCAGAGGTGCTTTGCTGGTACAGCAGGAAACGTTTTAAATCACGACTGGAAGTGTTTTTCAGAGATCTGATCCAACAACCTCATTGGACACCTGGGGAAACTGAGGTCTAAGGAGCGGGAATGGTGTGGGGAGTGGGTTGGGGGACTGGCGGGAGGGGTTTTACGGGTTGATCTTTTTCTTTTCCTTTACAAAATGCCTGTTCGATCCACAGAAGACACTTTTATGGGTGCCTCCTGTGTGGAGGGCATCGCTGGGATTCAGCTGCCTGCCCATCCACTCTGTCCCGGCCCTCACCCCTCTCGGCCTTCCCAACTCAGAATGTGAATCAATACCATGAAGTTGCCCTATAAATCCTCTCTGGCTACATAGCATGTAAAATTTGATCAGCTTATTGGATGAAGCCTACAAGTCTCAAAAATGCGTCAAAAGTGGACCAAGCGGCGGGCAAGCGCAACGTTGAGGCCGGTGCTTCAGCCAACATCCCTCAGTTTTAGGTACAGCAGCCCTCACAGAGAGGAGTTTGGGTCTGACCTGAGGGGGGTGAGGGGGTGGGGCGTGCGGCGGTGGCTACAGAGAGTGCATCTGGGTGGCTTCATTGAGGCCTCTGCTCATCGTGGGTTGCGGGGTGTGTGTGTGTGTGTGTGTGTGTGTGTGTGTGTGTGTGTGTGTGTGTGGTGAGGGCGGTGCCTTAGGAGCGGTTTGTGGACTGCTGCAGAGGTGCAGAGGTCTCTCCTTTGCCTAGCCTGGGGCCCTGGAATGGGCGGGGCTAGGCGTGGCGTGGCGGCAGGGATAGGCGGGGCAGGGTGTGGCAGGGATGGGCGGGCTTAGTGGAGCGAGGCGGGGCTTAGCTGGGCGGGACAACAGTGGGCGTGGCTTAGCGGGCGGGGCGTGCTGTAGGTTTCCCGCCATAACTGTCTCAGGGCCCTTCCGCCTACTCCTCCTTTTTCAGCTGGCACCTGAGGTGAGGTGGCCAGCAGGAGACGGGGACTTCCGCGTCCTGAGAAGGCGGTGAAAGTGAAAGTGTAAGACTCTTAAGAGGAAAAGTACGCAGAGTGAGCGGCCAAAAAGGAGGAGAATGGAGAAACAGCAGGAGACCACTGAAGCCAAGGTAGGGGAGCACTGGTGCTGTACGTGGGGGCGTCAGTGTGAGAAGGAAGCGGAGGACATCGAGGACGTCGAGCAGCTGTCTCCCGAGCTGCCAGACGATGACGACGAAGACAATAAGGGGGTCGAGGAGGTGGTGGGGCCCAAGAGCGAGCAGCAGAAGCTGTGGCACCTCTTCCAGATGTCCGCCATCACCGTGGCCCAGCTCTACAGGGGATCGGAGGGCCCGCAGTCAGAACTTTCCATGTGGGACCCCTTCCAGAGTGCAGCCATGGCTTTGACCAACCTCTACAAAGAGAGCAGGGATGCCCAGCGAGGAAGTTTCGACCTGGGCGTCAAAGTTGGCTACCAGCGCCGCGTCAAAGAAGTGCTGGATTGGGCCAAGAGGAGCCAAAGCACTATTCTTCGCGAAGACCTGATTAGTTTCCTGTGTAGCAAAGTGCCCCCTGATCCTCCTCCAGTGGCCCTCCATCTTCCACCACCTTCGCCAGACATTGACTTGCAGCCCTTCCAAGAGGCCATCGACCTGCACGACCTCAGTGGCGCCATGTCGAGCATCAGCGTGCAGTCTGCTCCACCCAGCTCCCCGCCTCAAGCTGGAGGCTTTTGGAGCGATGTCACTAGCAGTGATCTCCAAAACAGTAGCACCTACAAGGATGACTTGAACTCCTGCAATCCAGAAGATCCGGCCCTCCACCTGGCCAGTGTGGGGAAGCGTAAATGCACCTCGGCCCAGTGTGGTGATGTCATCACAAATACCCCAACCCACAAGCGCAATCGAATGGTCTAATAGCCATTCGGTCACCAGCCGCCATATTCCTTGAAAGCGAACTCCACCTTCAACGTAGAAAGCATACTGAAGACTATCATTTCTTTCTCGAAGTTAAAAAAAAATGTTTCAATTAAATTTCCAGAACTATAAAACTAATTCAGAAGACGCCTCATATGACTCCGATTTTCACCAAAAAAAAAAAGTAATCCTTTTGGAAAACAACTAGTTAGCAACATTGTTTAGAGTAGCCTTATCCAGTCAGGGTTGGAGCCAGGTTTATCTTGTTCTCTGTTATGTTCCTTAGTACCTAGGACATTGTTGGTGCTTAATAAATGTTTGTTGAATGAATAAATGTGACCTTATTTAAAAGCTTTAAAGGGGAAGGAGTAACAGGTGTTTACTTAGTTATAGGATATTTTTATCCTTTATTATTTATTTTTTATTGATATTTATTTATTTATTTATTTATTTATTTATTTATTTTTTACAGAGAGGAAGAGAGAGGGATAGAGAGTTAGAAACATCGATGAGAGAGAATCATCGACCAGCTGCCTCTTGCACACCCCCTACTGGGGATGTGCCTGCAATTAAGGTACATGCCCTTGACCAGAATCGAACCTGGGACCTTACAGTTTGCAGGCCGATGCTCTATCCACTAAACCAAACTGGTTTCGGCCTATCCTTTATTTTTTATTCGCTATAACCATTTTGGCCACTTTAACTGCATTTTATTGAAATGCAAAATTGGATATCTTTGTGAAATATGGAGTCTTTCATTTTTACTCCACTGTACCTTACACCTAATTTCGAGAAAGAATGTGCAAGTAATACCTATTACACTGTTAGGTGTTTTATTTATTTATTTCTTTTAGGTATCTCAGGTAGGAAACAAAATTGTTTTTAATAGCACATGGCATGGTGAAAAGATGGTTGGGAAGGTAATATGTGATAGTGAGTCATTTTAATCCTCTCCAGAAAACTTAAGCCAACAACTGAGATCCTGGGGTCAGTGATGCTGGCATTCTTGGTGGCCCACAGGTCCTTGTTCCTTTTTCTTAGAAATGTCAAAATGTCCTTTTTCTGACGTTACATCTTTTTTGTGATCTAAAATGAAATCTGAATGGACTGGATTTTATTTGAGGATGCAGCATGATATAACTAAAAGAACACAAGCTTTTATTTTTTTTAATTTAAAAAAATATATTTTATTGAGTTTTTACAGAGAGGAAGAGAGAGGGATAGAAAGCTAGAAACATTGATGAGAGAGAAACATCGATTAGCTGCCTCCTGCACACCCCCCACTTGGGATGTGCCCACAACCAAGGTAAATGCCCTTGCCCGGAATCGAACCCAGGACCTTTTAGTCTGCAGGCTGATGCTCTATCCACTGAGCCAGGCTGAGGGACTCCCTCCTCCTCCCCCCCAGTGCAAGATTTCCTTCACTGGGTCTCTAGTTGTAAACTGGTTTCGGCGAGAACACAAGCTTTTATTAAAAGCACCCACAGTAGAACATTAGCCCCACAAATTCACTGTATAATTTTGGACAAATCATTTAATATATATTTTAAAATATTTTTATTGACTTATTAGAGAGAGAAACATTGATGAGAGAACCAAACATTGATTGGCTGCCTCCTGCATGCCCCCTACCAGAAATTGAGCTCCCAACCCAAAGCATGTGCTCCAACCAAATTCCCAACAATACTCTGTGCACTGGATGATGCCAAAACAACTGACCCATACTGGCCAGGGCCACTTACTAGACCTTAACCTTAGACAAGGGATCCTGAATTATGAGAGGGCACAGGCCAGGCTGAGGTAGTCCCATTATAAGCCAGTGCATGAATCTTGTGCACTGGGCCTCTAGACTATATAATAAAAGCCTAAGCAACTATTATGGTGGAATGACTAGAATGACCAGTTGCTATGATGCACACTGACCACCATGGAGCAGATGCTCAATGCAGGAGCTACCCTCTGGGGGACAGTGCACTCTCACAGGGGGAGTGCTGCTCAGACAGAAGCCAGGCTCATGACTGGTAAGCACAGTGGTGGTGGTGGGAGCCTCTCCCACCTTTACAGCAGTGCTAAGGAGCAGTGAGCCTAGAGGTAAGAAGCAATGAACAGATGGGTGGTGAGGAGCAAGGGGTCCCAGACTGCAAGAGGGCACAAGCCAGGCTGAGGGACTCCCCCTTCCTCACCCCCAGTGCAAGATTTCCTTCACTGGGTCTCTAGTTGTAAACAATGCTACAATAACCAGAGGGCTGCATATGTTCTTTTGTTTTAGTGTTTGGGTTTCCTTGTATATATACCCAGAAGCAGAAATGCTGGGTTATATGGTAGTTCTATTTTTAATAATTTTATCCTCACCTGAGGATGTGGGGGGGCGGAGAGAGAGAGAGAGAGAGAGAGAGAGAGAGAGAGAGAGAGAGAGAGAGAGAGAGGTGTGAGAGAGAAATCTCAATTGGTTGTCTCCCATACACACCCAAACCAATGACTGGGGACTGAAACCAAAACCTAGGTATATGTCCTGATTGGGAATTGAACCTACAACCTTTTATTTTATTTTTATTTATTTATCTTTATTGTTGAAAGTGTTACAGATGTCACTTTTGTTTTATTTCAGTGCCATCCTCCACCCTGCACCTCTCCCTCCCAGGCCTTCACCACACTATTGTCTGTGTATATGGGCTATGCTTATATGCATTTCAGTTTCCAGGTTAATCTCTTTCCCCCTACCTCGACTCCCGCCTTCCCTGTGAAATTCGTCAGTCTGTTTCGTGTTTCTATGTCTCTGGATCTATTTTGTTCAATAGTTAATTTTGTTCACTAGATCCCACATTTGAGTGAGATCATGTGATACTTATCTTTCTCTGCCTAGCTTATTTCATTTAGCATAATACTTTCCAGGTCCATCCATGCTGTTGCAAATGGTAAGAATTCCTTCTTTTCTACATCCACATAGTATTTAATTGTGTAAATGTATCACAGCTTTTTTATCCACTCATCTGCTGAGGGGCACTTGGGCTGTTTCCAGATCTTAGCTATCTCTATAATAAAGAGACAGGGTGTAACACCATTACCACCAAAGCTTGTCCAACCCAGCACTGACTGCTTCCCCTGCAGGTGCTGTGCCCCAGCATGATTGCTGAGGGGGCTGTGAATCAGGGCCATAGGAGGCCTGAAGAGAGAAGCAGGGACTGAGCCGTTGCCTCTGTGGCAACTTTTGATCAGTATTTGCCCCTCTCTCTCTCTCTCCTAATCTGGCCAGCAGCCAGGCCTCCATTTCTCTCCAGGACTCCACAGGTGCCGCTGATCAGACCTGCCTTTCTGATCAGGCCCTATTGATGCTTGACTAGCATAGAAACTGACCAATTAGAACCAAATCTGGGTGAACTGTGAGGAACCAATGGCTGTCTAGGAGGTGGAGCTTTTGATGCTGACTGGCATAGAAACTGACCAATCAGAACCAAATCTGGGGGCTTAAGAGGTGTTTCTGTCCAGGAAGAGGGTTAAATCCTGCTCCAGCAATGGCCTTCGCAAATCTACAGAAGTGCTCATCAGTGACAGCCTAGACCCTTGCTGCTGGAATATCCTGCAAGATGGAGGGCTGCAGGTGGCGGAGAAGCAGAACCTGAGCAAAGAAGGGCTGATAGCCGAGCTGCAGGACTGCAAAGGCCTTATCCTCTGCTTGGCCACCAAGCTGACCACTGATGTCATCAATGCCGCAGAGAAGCTCCAGGTGGTGGGCCGGGCTGGCACTGGCATGGACAACGTGGATCTGGAAGCTGCCATGAGGAAGGGCATCCTGGTCATGAACACTCCCAATGGGAACAGGCTTAGTGCTGCAGAGCTCACCCGTGGGATGATCATGTATCTGGCCAGGCAGATTCCCCAGGTGATGGCTTTGATGAAGAATGGCAAATGGAACCGAAAGAAGTTTATGAGAACTGAGTTGAATGGAAAGACCCTGGGAATTCTTGGCCTGGGGAGGATTGGGAGAGAGGTGGCTGTCCAGATGCAGTCCTTCAGGATGAATACTGTAGGGTATGACCCCATCATCTCACCAGAGATCTCGGCCTCCTTCAGCATTCAGCAGCTGCCCCTGGAGGATATCGGGCCCCACTGTGACTTCATCACTGTGCACACCCCTCTCCTGCCCTCCATGACAGGCCTGCTGAACCATAGCACCTTTGCCCTGTGCAAGAAGAGTGTGTACTGGTGAACTGTGCCCGCCCATGGAGGGATCCAGTGCGTGGGTGCAGGTCTGGATGTGTTCACATGCCTTGGAACACAAGAACATCATCAGCTGCCCCCACTGGGCGCCAGCACCAAGGAGGAACCAAACTGCTGCGAGGCGGAGATCACTGTCCAGTTCATGGACATGGTGAAGGGGATAGCTCTTGCAGGGGTCATGAATGCCCAGGCTCTTGTCAGCGCCTTCTCTCCGCACACCAAACCTTGGATCCGTCTGGCAGAAGCTCTGGGGATTCTGATATGAGCCTGGACAGAGTCCCCCAAAGGGACCATCTAGGTTGTAATACAGGGCTTATCCCTAAAGAATGCTGGGAATTGTCTGAGCCCTGCAGTCATTGTTGGCCTCCTCAAAGATGCTTCTAATCATGTGGATGTGACCTTGGTGAACACCAAGCTGCTGGTGAAGGAGGCCAGCCTCAATGTAAACACATCCCATAATCCCACTGTGCCAGGAAAGCAAGAATGTGGGGAAGGTCTCCTGAGTGTGGGCTTTGTGCTGCAGGCACTCAATGGAGCTACCTTCAGACCTGAAGTGTCTCTCCACAGGGATTTAACCCTGCTCCTGTTCTGGGCTCAGCCTTTCAACCCTGCCATGCTGCCTACCATGACTGGGCTCCTGATAGAGGCAGGTGTGCAGCTGCTGTCCTACCAGACCTCATTGGTGTCCGATGGAGAGACCTGTCACATCATGGGCATTTCCTCCCTGCTGCCCAGCCTGGACACTTGGAAGCAGCATGTGACTTAGGCATTTCAGTTTCATT